CAATCAGATTTCAGTGAAATCACAGATTCATATTATTCCTGCAGCTTAGAAAATTCTGTGCTCGGTATTTGAGTAAGGGAGATGAATTTCTCACTGAGAGTCTAGAGCCAATATGAAAACTTACAATTAGTGCTATACCCTCACAAATTTAAGTGACTGTACCATTGACTATGGGTAACCGCAGACACCACACCCATTGTCCGTCAATCAGCTAGGAAATAGAAAAACCCTTCATGAATTTCGCTCTTTTCCTCATAGCAAGAAGATTTATTTTTTTCTCATGCGATACCTCTAAATACAAAATTTACAGAATGACCGCTGATGGGGTTCAGCGTTCTCAACGCGAGGCGATGGCGCTGACAATCAACGAAATCGTTGCACATCTTGTCGAAGCACACAGAGAAAACAAAACCGTCAATCTGAACAGACTGAAATGTGTGGTATGTTCTTCTTTTAAATTTTGAATTTTTATCCTTTTTCATTACTTCGTTTCTTATCATTCTGTTTACACGTCGAAAACGTTTTAATTTCAGGCTTTTGTAAACAGTAAATTTTTCTCTAACTTATGTTTTATTGTGAAACTTCTGCCCGGCTTAGAGTATATGTTCCAGATTGCTCAAAAATATGGACTCAGCTCACAGCCCAAGCTTGTCGATATAATCGCCGGAGTACCACCGGAATTCAAGGTACAAACCGTCCATTACCGTTTGTTTTTGTCCTTTTTTCTTTTGTCTCATCCTTTTTGTACGCTTGACTCAACTCAGTGAGTTTTCGAAGTCTAATTCTGTAATTGCATAGATCAGATATCTCTTTCGCGAACAAAACTAGAAATTATTAGATAAACCAAAACTTATCTCGGTAAGTTGTACATTTCAGGAGATTCTCCTCCCCAAACTGAAAGCAAAACCAGTGCGGACCGCTTCCGGCATCGCCGTGGTGGCGGTAATGTCGAAACCACATCGATGTCCTCACATCAACTTCACAGGAAACGTCTGCGTGTATTGTCCAGGCGGTCCAGATTCAGATTTCGAATATTCTACACAAAGCTATACCGGGTACGAGCCAACCAGTATGAGAGCTATTAGGGCACGGTAAGTGGAAACTTCAGTATTTTGGGAGAAGTGTTGCTTTTTTTTAGATATGATCCCTTTCTGCAGACTCGTGGACGTGTATCACAATTGTTGCAGTTAGGTCATTCCATTGACAAGGTTTGGCTTCACTTTCGAAGTTTTCGCGAAATATAAAATGATCATAAAGTTTTAGGTTGAATTTATCGTCATGGGTGGTACCTTCATGTCCCTCCCAGACGATTATCGCGATTACTTTATACGTAATCTTCATGATGCCCTCAGCGGACATACCTCAAATAGTGTGAAAGAGGTGAGAATCTTTCAAAAATTTCAGTTTGAAGTTACACTTTTTAGGCAGT